AGAGATGGGGGGAGACAGAGAGAGAGAGGGAGGGAGAGCGAGAGAGGGAGGGAGAGAGAGAGAGAGGGAGAGGGAGAGGGAGTGAGAGAGAGACGGTGGGGGAGACAGGGAGAGAGAGAGAGAGGGAGAGAGAGGAGAGAGAGAGACGGGGGGACAGGGAGAGAGAGGGAGGGAGAGAGACAGGGAGAGAGAGAGGGAGAGGGGGAGAGAGAGAGAGGGAGAGGGGGAGAGAGAGAGACGGGGCGGGGAGAGACAGGGAGAGAGAGAGAGAGGGAGGGAGAGAGAGAGAGAGGAGAGAGAGAGAGACAGAGAGAGAGAGGGAGGGAGGGAGAGAGAGAGGAGAGAGAGACAGAGAGAGAGAGGGAGAGGGAGAGAGAGAGACACGGAGAGAGAGCCCATCTGAAAGTTCACTCTCCAGATGCCCTCAATGGCCAGGCCAGGCCACATGGAGTCAGCAGCCAGGAACTGGGGCCAGTCTCCCATAGGGTGGCAAGGGCCGCCTCCCCAGGTGTGCATCCGTGGGGAGCTGGGGCTGGGGGCGGCCCTGGACATGGAGGGCTTCCTCCGATCCAGTGGGGGGCTGCAGGAGCCTGGAGAAGATGAAGGCAGTGAAGGGTGCACTGGACGTGAGCACACATGGTGGAGCACACGGCCAGCATGCGGTGCACACGGCCAGCACGCGGTGCACACAGGCTCTGCTCCCTGGGAAGGTTGCTGGGTTTGGCCTGGACCTCGTCTGCATGCTCTGAGACGCGTCTTGTTCATGCTGCCCACACGTGGCACGAGAGGGCGGAGAGGGCAGCCTGGTGTAGGTTTCCGGACTCCTTGCCCCAGGGCAGCTCAGCCGCTGGGTGTTCAGCGTCGTGAGGAGCGTTTGATGGAAGTGACTGGTGCTATGCGGCCCCCACCCTGGGCCAGCAAAGACCAGCCTGCGACCGGCGAGCGCACTGAACCAGGAGGAAGATGGGTTTTGACAAAACCAAGCTAAAACGGCATCGCCCGTGGTCTTGCGCCTGAGGCTCTTTGAGGGCTGGGGCCTCTGCTGACAGCCGCGCTCCAGGAAGTCGGACGGGGCGGGGGGGCCTGGCAGGTGGAGGGGAGGTGCCGCGGAGCAGGGCGGGAGGGCTCAGCCTGTGCCTTGGTGCCTTGCTTTCCTTCCTTGAAGCCGCCGGGCGTTGGCTCCCAAGAGCCTCTCCGAGACCCGGGCAACGCTGCTGGCTTCCAGAGTGCCAGGGCGACCGCGACAGAGCACGGAATTCGGCCAGTGTCAAGGTTCAGGAGGTGGGCCCCGGTGAGCGGGTGAGGGGGTGTCTTGGGGAGTGGGGGGAAGGTAAGGTCCCCTGAGGCCTGGGGGGAGGTGAGGCAGGGGAGGAGCCTGGCCTGGGGGCACCGCACCCTCCTGTCCCGCTGCCTGCAGGCCCACGTGATGTCTCGGAAGAATCCAGGAAGGAGGGAGGGCGTCCACTCTGATGTGGCCATCTGACGTGCCTGCGTCCACGCCCAGGCCGTGTTTGGGTGACCATTCTGTGCCTTGCGACATCCCTTACTCTCTGCTCTCGGAGTTGAGGCTGTTCGGCGGTGCCTTCGACTCCCGGCAAAGGCCGGCTGGACGGACACGCAGGTGGCGCCAGGGCTGCCGTGGGCGGGGTCCCCGCAGTGCACACCCAGGCGGCGACCCCGCACCCCGGCTGGCTGGGGACGCGCCGGCCCGCCCTTCTCCTTGCGCGCAAGCTGCCTCTGCTTCCCGTCTCCTCCTCGCAGGCAGCAGACACGCCTGATGGTGTAGGGACGCCCTGAGGAGCATCTTCACTGCACCCCTTATGGTTAGAAGAAATTAGCAGCGTGGGGCGGCGGCACAGGTACGCGCAGGAGGGGGCGCAGACGCACGTCAGCTGGCGCAGCGCCCTCCTGCAATAGCCTGACGCAGTCGGAGACCCGTTCATTGATAAGCTCTGGAAATGAGCAGCGGAGTCTGGTTTTTACTGTGCGTGATAATGCGCTGTTTGTGAGATTCAAGTTTACCTCTAAACTGTTAATAGTGCAGGGAGACCCAACCCCTCCAGGGCGACGCAGCCGCGCAGAGGGGAGGGGCCGATACGAGGAGGGCGTTCGTCTCCCTGGAAACGTCCATGGCCACTGTCCGAGGAAGCGCTCAACACTTTTTTTTTCCTTTTTGCTTCTCGCCACCTTCTAGGCCTGGCAAAGTGCACAAAATGAAATACTTTCAAAGCGTTACATTAGAACCGCGGTGACTGGAGATGGTGCAGTTTTACACTAGAGCTGGGAAGGCAGTTCAGTGTCTTTGATGTTCGGAGCACTCGCAGCACTGCCCTGCCTCGCTGGAGGCGGGCTTGGGAGTCAGGAGCTACCAGGACCCGCAGACGCCGGCGGGAGCAGAGGCTGCCCCTGGGGTCTACCTCCCGGGCCGCAAGCCCTGTCTCGGTTATCCACTCCCTCCCGGGCTGTATCAGCTCAAGGCGCCTGTGCCCACCGCAAACAGGCATGGAGAAGGTGGCAGGCTGTGTGTCTGCTAGATGCAGGGACGCCTGGAGACACGCAGGCAACCTTGGACCCTGGGGGCTGTCACAGTGACGTCTCTGCCGGGCTGTTGCTGAGACAGGGACGCCCAGTCCCTCGTGGTGGCCCTGTGGGTCTGTGCTCACAGAAAGGACCACAGGGCCCTGGCGGCGTGGGGGGCAGGGGAGCTCCCTCTGGGTGGCGCCACTTCTGTCTGGGGGGGATCCAGGGGCCTATGAGACTGCACACGTGGATCAGAGCGCGTGACCTACAGGCAGCATCCTGCACCGTCGGCCACACCATCTCACCGAGTGTCGACAGCTGGACAGCACACAGCTCAGTCGCGTTCTGTGGCGGCTGCTCTCTGAATAAAGTGCCGGGGTGGCCAGCTGCACCAGCCCCTTCCTCTCCCCGGCCGGCGTCCACGGCGGGGCCTGGGCTGCCTCGCTTTGCTCTCTGCTCGGTCGTCTTGCAACGCTGAAGCTCCTTGCCTGGCGTGGCTTCCGTGAGGACGTGGCGTGTCCCTCGCCTTCACCCACCACACCTGCAGGAGCCCCTCTCCCAAATGCGGCCGCAGCCCCAGCACTGGGGACACGACTCAACCCGGCAGGAGCTGGGGAGTTGAGACGGCCGCCGTAGCTCAGGGCCCCAGCGCCGGGGTGCACAGCCCTGCTGCCCTTGGCCTTGTTGCCCAGCTGGCATGGTCCTTCCAGAGAGAGAGGACACTCGGGGCCACGGAGCGACAGCGAGGGGCGTGGGGCGAGGAGTGAGTGCCAGTCCTGGGGCCCTGGGGCCGAGCTGCCAGGGTGTCGGGGGCTAAACAGGAAGTGCAGGTTCCGGCTTCGCAGCTTCTCCCCGGTGGGCACCAGGCCTAGGAGAGCACTCCTGCTGGGGAGGGAGTCAGGCCTAGTGGGCACGGACAAGAAGGCACTTGGGGCCTCGCCCAGGCCGCCGGCCACACCCTCAGGTGCTTGCCCACGCCCAGGCCCCGAGCCATGCCCGAGGCGCAGGGCGGGACTTGGTCTGGAAATGACGTCACTTTGTTGGTGGGCTCCCTGCACAAGGGATCCCGGCCTCAGAGTGGGCGCCGTCGCCTCAGCCCCTGCCAGCCCTGACCCCGCGTGCCGGCAGTGAGGGTGCCAGATTGCACACGACTGCTGGGCCCTGCTGCGGCCCTGTGACCCCCGGAGGACATGTCCCTGTGCTCCCGCCCACTGTCCTGCGGCCCAGTTAGGACGGGGTCAGCCCCGGGGGCAGGCCTGCCCCAGCGGCTGCCCATCAAGCCCTCCCCGAGCCCCGGAAGCTGCCAGAGGCAGGAAAGTCCTCCCCGGATTCTGGGGGGCTGCTCTGTGACAGCAGCGGGGGCCACTGAGCAGCCTCCGTCCTGGGCCCCCGCCCCGAGCTCGGTGGTCCTCTGAGGGTGGCGGAGTGGGTTCCCGCGGATCCAGTGCAAGCCGAAGCCCCAGCCTGCTGCCCCCAGGGAGGGTTCAGAGGGTCCCAGCACAGGGCCAGCACAGAGCGTGAACAGGGGCCTGCAGCAGCACCTGGCCTGAGGCACCAAGGGGCCCATGCCGGTGCCAGCTCCATGTGTGCTGTCACCATCTTAGATGTCCGGGTCTTAGAACGAGGGGTCTCCCCTTTTTGTTTGGGGCTGGGCCCCGATTCTGTAGGTTCTGTATCCAGCCTCGGGGTGGTTGCCACGCCTCTCTCCTCAGAGGGTCCCTCGGCTCTGCCATTCCCCACTCAGTCCCGCGTCCACCGGGGCCGTCTTTCTCCTGCCCCGG